CCCCACCCCCACCCCACTCTCACCGGCACAAATACCATGTAACTTTTTGGTAGTCTGCATTTTTTAACTTCTTTTTTGATAATCGTAATGTCCAGGCCAGCTTGCGCACATCTCAACTAATTCCTCACGATACGTGCCACCTCCCACCAGCAACAAATACCAGGTAATCTATTTTTTAATTATAGAAATATTGGTTCTTAAAGATTCCTGAGCCCATTAATAACCTATTTGCATTGATACCAATTGAGTAGCCCCACCACCACCCCACTTGGCCATTGTGTAGTGAACTTGTACATTTGAAAAATTAATGAAAATTCCCACATGATGATCAAAAATCAACCAAATTTACACATGATTAACTACTTCTACAACATATATACATGCAAAGATTGATTAATAAATAACAAAAAAGTAAAAATACTTCAAATTTTCAAGAATTATCAAATTAAAATTGGATATACCATCTAATTTTTTTTCTTGTTCTACTTTTGTAGAAGTTAAAAGGGTTACATAAAGTTCAAAACTTGATCCAAAATTAACATGAACAGATTTAAAAAAATAATCTTGAATTTTTAGTTTAATTCTAAGAAAAGTTAAATTAAATAAAATGTACCTAAAAAAGCTCTTGAAATTCCTTTGAATTGTTGAAGAAAATGATGAAATCAATTTAGGGTTTTGAAAACCCTAGAAAAATAATGGCAATTTGCAGTATAATTTGCTAAAATAAAAATAAAAATAAAAATGGTGATTTTCAGTTGCTGAGACAAGAGTGATAAGGGTTAAAGTGTAATAATTGGAATTTGAAGGGTTGATTAATGTAAATAAGAAGAATATTCTCTTTTATCTAATGTGGAAAAAGATTCAGGGCCCACTAACCCGGTTCATTTTAAAATGGACATGGACCGGAGATTTGCATAAATAGACACCTTTTGAGTTGTGACCATTGTTTAAGTTTTGTCCACATATAAAGAATTTGTGCAAAAATGATCTTATTGTTAAAAGACACGCGTTTTGTTAATTCGATAAGACCTGTGAATAATTTAATAAAATAACAAAATAAATATTGTATTAAAATTGTGATGTGCTCGTTATGACGGGTGACAATAAAGTTACTTTGCAAATAATCACTTTAGTCAAGACCTGTGAACAATTGAATAAAATAAAAAAATAAAGATTTTATGAAAATTATGACGTGTTTGTTACTTTGTAAATATTCACTTAGTTCGACGTTTTTTGAGGATGTTCGAAACATATTAACCTATAAAACTTCATCTTTAAGGGGTAGGTTGTCTTGGCAACGAAACGTATGTAAGTATTAGTGATTGCTTTCGAGATTCGAGTTCATGACCTATAAAACTTTATCTTTGCTCTAAAATTCCAGAGTTAATGTCCAAGTTGGATTAGGGAAACAACTATAATTGGAGCTAGTGATAGATATGGTAGGAGTTGGCACTTTGATTTTATGCATTGAGGAATTGTACATTTTTAGATAGGAAGCTAGAGTGTTAATTAAAATTTATTATCATGGTACTTGACAATACATATATAAATCAACACAATCTTTAAATGTGGAAAATAGTGAATGTATATGTAATTGACTAAAAAGTTTCATTTGAGAGTAAAACGCTCTCAACAAAAGCTACTCCAAATCAAGAATTCAAATCCAAAACACTTCTAATTAACGACTAACAGATATTTACCATCACATCACACAATTAAATACTAATAAAAACATTTTTTCCTCTCTTCACTCAGACTTTACTTTCTTTTTCACAAGCCTCTTTCATAGCTAAAGGACCTAGCTATAGATTAATTAAGAACTTCTGACTTATGAGCTTCTAATAGCTCATGCAATTTGTATTCTGAATTTCATTTCAACATAAATTAGTAAAAAAAAAGTTAAATATCTCATCAAATTGAAAACTTACCTAACTAACTCATGCCAAATTAGATTCATAAAGATTGTTAAGAAGTCAAAATATTATAGTAATCAAAATTTTCATAATATCAAATGTTTTCCTTAACATAACACATGCATGGTAACTTTTTTCTATCTAAAAAGTTAGGCTCACTATCTTCTAGTGAGTTAGGCAATTACTTATTGCTCTCAGTCATTACAAAATATAAATGAGTTAGGTCAAAAATACACTATGAAACAATATTTTTTTCACGAGTTTCGCATTTTAACTATTCATTATTTCTTTTGCCTATCTAAATCATTACTTCCTTAGTATTAAAACACACCTCGATGGTGAGTTGATCAAATATTGTTCTCAATTGATAACAAGCTTATGTAGGCCAAGTCGTCATCGAGATGTGTATACAAAGAGAATGCTAAGTAAGTAAATGGAATAATGGATAGTTAAGATACGAAACTCACGAAAAATGTGATAATTAGATAGGTAAATGGAACAAAGCATAATCATGGGACAGAACTCATGGAAAAAGAATGATAATTGAAGTATTCTTTTTACCATATACTATAAATATCATAAGCTCAAACATTTCAATAGAGATGAGCAAACTTCTACAAATGAAAATTTAAGAAAACAAAATTCAAAATAACTAACAAATCATAATGTCTGAATACCAAGGTATGGTCAAGATTCCCCTATTTTGACCTCAAAACTTTACTCGAGCCGTAAAAATATAATATGATGTGTGAGTTAGACGCACGTCATAGAGACAAACTAACATAACATTTAAGCGAACAAATATATAAAACAATCCATTATCCATCCAATTTCGAATCGTACACCACTAATCCTTTCTCCATTTAAAAAAAAAAAATCATCTCCCAATTTTATAATTGCATGATCCAACAAACATTCAGTTCAATAACATGGAAGTTTACCACACAAAATATGTGAATTACCACACTATGTATTAAAATTTTAAAATTAAACTATTTTTTTTCTTTCACCTTCAAAAATTAGACATTTAAAAAAGGGTCGAAAAAATTGGATCACCCTATATCTCAACTTTAATTAGAACTTCTATTTATCTTAAAAATATCTAAATACTTTGAACTTTTATTTTTCTCTATATATACAAGTTCACAAAAATAAAAATAATCTCCAAAATTTGAGTCTTGTGGGGAAGAAAAAGGAAGAAGAGAGGCACAAAAATAACACATTTGCTTCTCATTCTTCCACTTTCATACATTCCCCACAAAAAAGTTCCCAAAAACACACACACACTGAAAATCAATTTTTTTTTCAAGAAATAAATCTTGAAAATCTGTTGAGAAAAGGGTGGATTAATCAATTAATGAGTTTTTTCTTGTAGTTTCAACAAAAGGGTACCTTAAAAATTGAATCTTTTTGCCATTTTTGAGAAAATCAAGAACCAAAAAAAAAAAAAAAATGCTGTCTGGACAATTAGAGAAGAAGGGTTTTTTCATAGCTACACTTATAATATTTTGGTATTCCTCAAATATTGGAGTCCTTCTTTTGAACAAATTATTGCTGTCAAATTATGGATTTAGATTCCCAATTTTTCTTACAATGTGTCATATGACAGCTTGTGCTGTTCTTAGCTATGTTTCTATTGTTTTCTTAAAGATTGCACCTTTTCAGAGGATTAAATCAAGGTCTCAATTTTTGAGGATCTCTACACTTAGTGTTGTCTTTTGTGGTTCTGTTGTTGGTGGAAACATTTCTTTAAGGTACTTGCCTGTGTCGTTTAATCAGGCTGTGGGTGCAACAACACCCTTTTTTACTGCATTGTTTGCTTATTTGATGACAAGGAAGCAAGAAGCTTGGGCTACTTATGGTTGCCTTGTTCCTGTTGTAACTGGGGTTATTATTGCAAGTGGGGTATGTTTGCAAACTTTCTAACTTGTTCTTTTTCTTGAATGAATAGTTAACTCCTTGTATTTATTGGTTTCCGTGTGTCTTTATTCATTTTGGAGCCCGATTAATTTGAATTCAATTCCACCTTGGGGATAAAACGCACTAGAGTTTGAACTCGAGACCTTTGGATAGCTCCACCACGACCTTTGGTGGTGAATAGTTAATTGCTTGTTTTTTTGGTTTCCGTGTTCTCGACCCATTCTTTGGGGATAAAGCATATGTAAGGCTCGAACTCAAGACTTTTGGTTAAAGATGGAGGAATACTTACAACTCAACCGCGACCTTTGGTGGTGAATAGTTAATTGTTGGTTTTCTTTTTTTGGTTTCCGGTGTCTTGTCCCATTTTGGGGTGTGACTAGTCTAGATTTAGGAGGTTCCACTTTGGGGATAAAACATGCCTAGGGATCGAACCCGAGCTCTTTGGTTAAAGATGGAGGAATACTTATAACTCCACCACAACTTTCAGTAATGAATATTAATTGCTTGTTTTTTTTGGTTTCCATTTTCTGCACTCATTTTGGGCCCGACTCTAGATTCAGGAGGTCCCACTTTGGGGATGAGCTCGAACCGAATACCTTTGGTTAAAGATAAAGGAGTACTTACTGCTCACCGTGACTTTTGGTGGTGAATAGTTAATTGCTTGTTTTTTGTTCTATACCCCATTTTGGGGCTTGACTAATTTGGATTCAGGAGGTCCACTTTGGAGGTTAAATGCACCTAGGATTCGAACCTGAGACTTATGGTTAAAGATGGAGGAGTACTTATAGCTCCACCATGACCTTTAACGTTGAATATTTAATTGCTTGTTACTTTGTATTATATTTAGTAGATCAGATTGTGGTATGTTTTGTGTAGAAAAATTGGATCTTTTTTTCTTAAATTTTCTAACCATGTTGGCTGTTTAATTTCATTCCTTTTAAAGTTGATCTATGATTTTTTAACAATGGTAGTAGTTCTTTTATAAGTCTAGATTAACTGATTGAGATCAGATATGAGAATTTTTATGGATGCTCATATACATTATAACGCCTCGACAATCTATTGCCAGGCAGATCTAGAATTTAAATTTAATGTGTTCAACACTTCATAAGTTTTTATCGGGCCCATTATACAATCAATTTCGAATCTTCTTAGTAATCTTCCACCTGTATATTGATGCCCCCTGTCAAAAATACTTTCCTCTGTGGACAATTCTTACCATTTCTGTGTTTTGCAGTAGTTTGCTTTTCTTTCCAATGGAAATTAAGTTATTTTCACATTCTATTTCAATGTTCATAATGATCACTTCTTTTTTCAAATGATAGTATCTTCCTTGACGATGTTTCCATTGGAGATATTCAAAGAAATTGACTTTGTGTGGCGTTTCCTCAGTAGAATGTGTTTTTTTCTTTTGATAATCGTGATATCCGAGACCCTTCGGGGTGGCCTAGTGGTTTGGGCTTGGGGACTTCCATGTTGGAGGTCTCAAGTTCGAAACCCCTTGCCAGCGAAAGCAAGGGGTTTGTCTTCTGGGTCGAGCTCGTTGCACCAAACTTGCCTAGTGCGGGTTACCTCTCCTATGTGGTTTGCGAGCTATTGCATAGGAGCAGGGGATTTTTACCCTGTGCGCACCCAAAGGGTAGCGGCTACGGGTTTCCCTTGTCATCCAAAAAAAAATTAAAAAAAATTGTGATGTCCGAGATAGCTTATCGGGTAACTCTGTCTACCAAAATTTGGAAAGATAGGAAAAAATCACCTTGTATCTTTGCCTCTCAAGTCTCAGTAGAGTGTGTTTTGATGACATATATACAGAATCAAACACTAGATGATAAATATACTTTGAGCAATTCAGAGATTCTCAATGTCTCATGGTATTAGTTTAAGATTTTATTCAGTAAGAAATTGATAATTAAACAAGTTTACTTACCTTGTCTTTTGTTGTGTTATATTTGAAGTTTATTAAGCCATGACAAGTATCTATCTATTGGTTGTTGAAATAGGTTTTGTTTTCTTGTTGAAAAATTTGTAGCAACTTTTATTAACTATTAATCTACCTCCTAAGGTAGCGGTAAGGTTTGCATACACTCTACCCTCCCCAGATTCCACGTGTGGGATTACTCCGGGTATGTTGTTGTTGTTTATTGACTATTAAGTTTCTTGATTGATGATAGGGTGAGCCAAGCTTCCACCTTTATGGATTTATCATGTGTATTGGTGCAACTGCTGCTAGAGCCTTCAAATCTGTTCTTCAAGGAGTTCTTCTTTCTTCTGAAGGGTAAGCACTTTGCTTCTTCTTGCCATCTGTGTAAACGCAAAATACTTTTACTATCACGTCATCTAAAAGATAACTAACTACAGGTTACGAGTTTCTGATCTTCTAGTTTCCTCATTTGATTTACATCTGATAGAGATTGGGGTTCCTTTCAAATTCACGACCCTTCATTTGATTTATTTGTCGTTCGTTTGTTTTGCTGATACATTTAAACTAGTAGTTTTCTCCTTAACCTGATGTTATCTTTCAGGGAAAAACTGAACTCCATGAATCTCCTGCTCTACATGTCACCAATTGCTGTTGTAGTATTATTGCCTGCTGCACTCGTTATGGAGCCTAATGTTATCGAAGTCACTGCAACAATCGCGACTGAACACAGATACCTTGGCCTGCTTATTTTGATTAATTCTGCAATGGCCTATGGTGCCAATTTATTGAACTTTTTGGTGACTAAGCATACCAGTGCATTGACACTCCAGGTTTGCTCCTCTCATACCCCTCTATTTCCCCCCTTTTTAATTGTAGTGTTGTGTGGCAAAAGAAAGACAAAAGCAGAATGATAACCAAGGGGTGTGGTGGAGTGGTTGGAAATATATTATCCTTAATCAGAAGTCTCGGGTTTGAGCATGAACCTGGGAATAAAGAACCTTATCGTAGATACCATTGGCCACTATAGACCTAAGTTGCTCGGACTCGGGTGCGGGTGTCCAATACAGGTGCGATCTCTAGAGGTCGGATCCTTCATGATCTAATTTTTAAGATTCGGGGATATGGATACGGGTGCAGGAATTTGCCTAAATATAATTAAAATATCTAAAAATAGAGTTATAAAACCTAAATTATGAGATATTATGTGGAGAACTTGAGGAGAATCTTGGAAGGAGATTAAAGGAAAATGAGTGACATAGAAATTTCTATATAAAATGCATTCCATTTTCTTCAATTTCACCTTAGCTTTTGTATTGATTATAGAAATCATTAAAACTGTCTAGACTTTCTACATCGATTTTGGTCAAAGTACCCAAAATTGGTTGACCAAATCGGACACGGATCCCACACCTGCACTCATGTCGTGTCGACACGGATGCGGCACCAAAAGTGAAGAGTCCGAGAAACTTAGCTATAGACCACTCCTGGATTAGCAAATGTTTTTGTTCTCTAACTTGCCATATGTCCTTAGACTTGAACACGAAAGATCACGCCTAGTCTCAGGCCAAGAAAGGTTAATTTTTTAAATACGTGTTTAAACACAGACTTCCAAATACCCTTTCAACTTCAACCAGATACTTTATTACTCGGACCCTTCAAAAATGCTACAGAGTGTGTATCAGATCCTCCAAAACTAGTGCATTTTTGGAGGTTTTGTCATGGGTGCAGCAACATTTTCGGAGAGTATGAGAAACATAGACCAAATATTGTCCAAACACCTACTATATTTTTCAAGAATGGTTCTAAATTTTCACAGTAGCTGCAATGTACATATTTTTCACCTGTTAGAAATAACTAAACTCTCTATGGACTGGTGCAGGTCCTAGGCAATGCAAAAGGTGCAGTGGCTGTTGTTATCTCCATACTAATTTTCCAAAATCCAGTAACTTTCATCGGAATCGCGGGCTACACGATGACTGTGATGGGAGTTGTTGCTTATGGAGAATCCAAAAGAAGGCACAAATAAGTTTGACATCAAAACCCTTTTTTTCTTGTTTTCATAAAGTACCATACACTTGTGTTTCTTCAAAAGGTGTTAGATGTGTTGTGGTAGAGTTAGGAAGATATAGATTCCATTGCAATTTTGTAGCCCATAGACAGATGAAATGGTTAAAAGGGGTTGATTTCTTTTACCAATTCTTCTGTTGTAATTCTTTCTATTAAGAGGGGATCTTTACATTTGTAACTAATTTTTGTGTTGTTACAATAAAGTCAAATAATGTCTTCTTCCTTCTCTATTTTCCCTTGTATTTGTTTCCTTTTTGCCTATAAACATTCTTGGAAACTAATACAACACTTATCATATTCGAATTCAAGATTTAAAATCGATAGATTCTAAATGGTCGTTTTATTATATGTTTACATTTAAAATCTTTTTTTTATATATATACACATAGTTTGAGACGAAAGCAATGAGTTCAGTTGAAGCATGTGATATGACCAACTCTTTCATAGATACGATTCTGAACTATTATAAATTCGAAATTCATCAAAATAACTTCATAAATTTTCCCTAACTTTATTGGTTCGACTACTTTTTGCACAATTTCAAAATATTCTTTCTCCAAGATTATTTTTACACCTTAAACTCGTGACATTCAATATATTGATGACTCTTACCGCTGCGCTAAGGCTCTCCCCTATAAAAGTTGACCAACAGCCTTATTGAAGGAAAAAAATTAACTTTTAGCTGTCAATACAGGCTATAATGCTTGAAAAAAGTGTTTTTTTTCTCGTGCGGCCAAATCTACCCTTCTGGTTCGACTCTTCTGCAAATCTCGCGCATAGCAAAAGCTTTAGTGGATCATATTGTACTTTTTATCGAAAATAAAGGAAACACTTTCAATTTTTATACTTCGAAAATTGTTTGCATTATTTGATATTGTTTAGCTAGTCACTAGGGTTTGTTACTTAAAACCTATTAAGATTCGAGTTTAAAGAATTTGCAAGTGACTTGAGTAAAACTTCAGTGTCATTTTGTCTCCAATTTTAGCTTTTTAAATTTTTTTATAACCATGATGTCTAAACCAACTTGGACGCACCTCGACGACTAATTTCACGAGGTATCTGCTAGCTCCCACCAGGGTAATAGGCTAACCAAGCCCCCAAAGAGAAGAAGATTAACAAAGACAGCTTTTTTCCTACAATAATTTCAATAATTTCAATGTATATAAGCAAGTCAATTTCAAAATTTTGTGTTCATACCAATTACAAACAACTGAACTGTTGAATTAGGATAAAAAAAAACTTAAATATCTAAATGTCCTAGGATGATTTAGTAGCCTAAATGTCTTCTTCATAAACACTTCATCAGAAATCTTGGATAGAAGCAAGTATTGAGTGTATGCAAGTTATTTATTTGAAGGAAGCTCGCGATTTTGTCCTCTTAACTTCTGAAGTTCCGGGAAATGCAGAAGCACAAAAGGGCTGAAAATAACTACACTTTAATAGTGAAAGTATCTTCATTTATCATTACTATGAAAACTAGAGGTCAGATCCTTCATGATCTAATTTTTAAGATTCGGGGATATGGATCCATGTATGGATACAGGTGCAGGAATTCGCCTAAATATAATTAAAATATCTAAAAATAGAGTTATAAAACCTAAATTATGAGATATTATGTGGAGAACTTGAAGAGAATCTTGGAATGAGATTAAAGGAAAATGAGTGACATAGAAATTTCTATATAAAAGGCATTCCATTTTCTTCAATTTTACCTTAGCTTTTGTATTGATTATAGAAATCATTAAAACTGTTTAGACTTTCTACATCGATTTTGGTCAAAGTACCCAAAATTGGTTGACCAAATTGGACACGGATCCCACACCCGCACTCATGTCGTGTCGACACGGATGCGGCACCAAAAGTGAAGAGTCCGAGAAACTTAGCTATAGACCACTCCTGGATTAGCAAATGTTTTTGTTCTCTAACTTGCCATATGTCCTTAGACTTGAACACTAAAGATCACGGCCAAGAAAGGTTAATTTTTTAAATACGTGTTTAAACACATATACTTCCAAATACCCTTTCAACTTCAACCAAATACTTTATTGCTCGGACTCTTCAAAAATGCTACAAAGTGTGTATCAGATCCTCCAAAACTAGTGCATTTTTGGGGATCTGTCACGGGTGCAGCAACATTTTCGGAGAGTATGAGAAACATAGACCAAATATTGTCCAAACGCCTACTATATTTTTCAAGAATGGTACTAAATTTTCATAGTAGCTGCAAATATACATATTTTTCACCTGTTTGAAACAACTTAACTCTCTATGAACTGGTGCAGGTCCTAGGCAATGCAAAAGGTGCAGTGGCTGTTGTTATCTCCATACTAATTTTCCAAAATCCAGTAACTTTCATCGGAATCGCGGGCTACACGATGACTGTGATGGGAGTTGTTGCTTATGGAGAATCCAAAAGAAGGCACAAATAAGTTTGACATCAAAACCCTTTTTTTCTTGTTTTCATAAAGTACCATACACTTGTGTTTCTTCAAAAGGTGTTAGATGTGTTGTGGTAGAGTTAGGAAGAAATAGATTCCATTGCAATTTTGTAGCCCATAGACAGATGAAATGGTTAAAAGGGGTTTAATTCTTTTTACCATTCTTCTGTTGTATTCTTTCTATTAAGAGGGGATCTTTACATTTGTAACTAATTTTTGTGTTGTTACAATAAAGTCAAATAATGTCTTCTTCCTTCTCTATTTTCCCTTGTATTTGTTTCCTTTTTGCCTATAAACATTCTTGGAAACTAATACAACACTTATCATATTCGAATTCAGGATTTAAAATCGATAGATTCTGAATGATCGTTTTATTATATGTTTACATTTAAAATTCTTTTATATATATATATATACATAGTTCGAGTCGAAAGCAATGAGCTCAGTTGAAGCATGTGATATGACTAACTCTTTCATATTCCCTTTATAATCTCCATCTCCACTTTAGGAAAAAAGGAACCAAATATGTCTGTTTTATAAGTACTTTGAACATATACAGAATGTTTTTAGAAACTCTAAAGAGAAATTTATCAAAATAACTTCATAAATTTTCCCTGACTTTATTTGTTCGACTACTTTTTGCACAATTTCAAAATATTCTTTCTCCAAGATTATTTTTACACCTTAAACTCGTGACATTCAATATACTGATGACTCTTATCGCTGCGCTAAAGCTCTCCCCTTTAAAAGTTGACCCACAGCCTTTAAGGGAAAAAAAAAAAGAACTTTTAGCTGTCAATACAGTCTATAATGCTTAAAAAGTGTTTTTTTCTTTTTTCTTGTCATCCAAAACTATGTACAATGACCCTTCTGGTTCGACTCTTCTCCAAATCTCGCGCATAGCAAAAGCTTCAGTGTATCACCTTGTCCTTTTTATCGAAAATAAAGGGAACACTTTCAATTTTTATACTTCGAAAATTGTCTGCATTATTTGATATTGTTTAGCTAGTCACTAGAGTTTGTTATTTTAAAACTATTAAGATTCAAGTTTACAGAATTTGCAAGTGACTTGAGTAAAACTTAATTTTTTTATAATAACCATGATGTACAAACCAACTTGGATGCACCTCGACTAATTTTATATGCTAGCTCCCACCAACACGGATAATAGGTAGAGATTTGGACAAATGGAAAGAAACCTTTTATTTTAGCTTAATCAAGCCCCCAAAGAGAAGAAGATTAACAAAGACAGCTTTTTTCCTACAATATTTTCAATAATTTCCATGTATATAAGCAAGTCAATTTCATAATTTTGTGTCATACCAATTACAAACAACTGAACTGTTGAATTAGGATAAAAAAAAACTTAAATATCTAAATGTCCTAGGATGATTTAGTAGCCTAAATGTCTTCTTCATAAACACTTCATCAGAAATCTTGCAAGCCCCCAAAGAGAAGAAGATTAACAAAGACAGCTTTTTTCCTACAATAATTTCAATAATTTCAATGTATATAAGCAAGTCAATTTCAAAATTTTGTGTTCATACCAATTACAAACAACTGAACTGTTGAATTAGGATAAAAAAAAACTTAAATATCTAAATGTCCTAGGATGATTTAGTAGCCTAAATGTCTTCTTCATAAACACTTCATCAGAAATCTTGGATAGAAGCAAGTATTGAGTGTATGCAAGTTATTTATTTGAAGGAAGCTCGCGATTTTGTCCTCTTAACTTCTGAAGTTCCGGGAAATGCAGAAGCACAAAAGGGCTGAAAATAACTACACTTTAATAGTGAAAGTATCTTTGTTTGTCATTACTACGAAAACTTATCTCATTCTACTCATGTCAAATGTTTCAAGTAAACAACTTGGAATCAGAAACCTAACCAATTGATAACGATCCTTCGTGAGATTACACAAAAGCTCCATACCTCGTCTGAGCTATGCATGCTTAAAGATCTTCATGCTGAGCCAGTGGAAATATATAGCAACAACAAGGATGGGAAGCGTTAATGGAACCAGAAAGCAATAGTATCTGAAACAGAAATACAAAATAACTCAAACATAGGCTCAAAGCGTTATTATATTTATACCAACACAAACATGATAATTTGGGAAAAAGGGAAGAAGAATATTTGTAAACTAATGAACATGAGATATTCCAGCTACAAAGCCTATCAAGCATTTAGTAAGATTTTGATCATAGCACGGTGATTACATTAGGCTAACAACCATCACAAAATCAGAATGACATCTCATAGAATCCTCCTTTCCAAAAAACAATTCCACTCATGCCATAACCGATTTTTATTGACGAAGTCAAATTCAGTTAATGAAGACTCTTGTATAACTAAAGTATTAAGATAAGATAATTGAATCAACTATTACCAAATCATCATGCCAGTACGTGATATTATGCTGCAAGCTGGCTAATGCCTTAACAATGAATGTAAGCATCTAGAATTGAGAATTACTGGTCTGATACTACCAAATCAGCGCTTCAAATTGGCTCAATGTGATGTAATAAATAAGTAAGAAAATGGAAGTGTTTCTATTCAAAATTGATCTTTCAGGACGAAGAGTATTATCTATAAGTATGTATAGCTGGTTGGAAGAGACCCATGTAGTTGTAAACCTCTTAAGCATATTAATTTTTTATTGAAACCACAAACAGTTAGATGTTCGAGTTGTAAGTTACTGA